AGGGACCAAAGAGGAAATCTTCTTGTGGAGGTAGAGGGCATGGCTGATGCACTGAATGAGTACTTTGCATCTGTCATCACAATATGCAGTCAATGTCACAATATTGGGGGAGAGGGTAGAGAAATTGGATAAGATAAGAATAAACCGAGAGCAGGTACTGAAAAAGTTGATGGTGCTCAAGGTAGATAAGTCACCCAGTCCGGACAGGATGCATCCTAGGTTACTGAGGGAGGCTCTGGCCACAATCTTTCAATCCTCCTTGGACAATGGGGTGGTGCCAGAGGACTGAAGGATTGCAAATGTTACTCCCCTGTACAAAAAGGGGCAGAAGGATAAACCCGTGAACTACACGCCAGTCAGCCTAACGCCAGTAGTGGGGAAACTTCTAGGGATAAAATAAATTTTCATTTAGAAAGATATGGGTTAATAAAGGACAGCCGACACTGATTTGTTAAACTCAAATTATGTCTAACAAACTTGATAAGAGTTTTTTGTTGAATTAACGGAGAGGGTGGATGAATGTAGGTGCAGTTGATATAGTTGATGTGGATTTTTAAAAGGTGTTTGATAAAGTGCCACATAAGAGACTCGTAAGCAAAATAGAAGCCCATGTTATTAAAGGAACAGTGGTAGCATGGACACAGAACTGGCTGGGAGACAGAAAGCAGAGGTGAACAGTGCAGAACAGTTGATTTTCTGACTGGAGGGAAGTGTGCAGTGATGACCCCCAGGGGTCAGTATTGGGATCACTGCTGTTTTCGATCTATATAAATGACCTGAACTTGGGTATAGGGAATACAATTTCCAAATGATACTAAGCTAGGAAAAGTAGTAAACAGCGAGATGGATAGTAGCAGACTGCAAATGGACATAGACAAACTGGTAAAATGGGCAGACACGTGGCAGATGAAGTTTGTGGAGAAATGCAAAGTGATGCATTTTAGGAGGAAGAATGAGAAGAGGCAATATAAGCTGATGGTACAATCTTAAAGGCAGTGAAGGAACAGAGAGACCTGGGGGTTCATATAAGTAACTCTTTGAAGGTGGCAGGATAGGTAGATAAAGCTGTTAAAAAAGCATACGGGATACTAGGCTTTATAAATAGGGGCATAGAATACAAAGTCAGGAAGTTATGATAAATATTTATAAAACACTGGTTAGGCCTCAGCTAGCGTACTGTGTTCAGTTCTGGACACCACACTTTAGGAAGACTGTCAAGGCATTGGGAGAGGGTGCAAAGGAGATTTACCAGGGTGGTACCAGGAATGAGGGACATCAGTTATCAGGAGAGGCCAGAGCAGCTAGGATTATTCTCCTTGGAGCATAGAAGGTTAAGAGGAGACTTAATAAAAGTTTTCAAAATTATGAGGGAATTCGATAGGGTGAACAAGGAAAAACTGTTCCCACTGGCGGATGGGTCGGTCACTCGAGGTCACTGATTTAAAATAGTTGTTAAAAGAAACAGAGGGAAGGTGAGGAGAATTTTTTCACGCAGCGAGTTGTTCAGATCTGGAATGCATTGCCTGAAAGGGTGGTGGAAGCCGATTTGATAACAACTTTTAAGAGAGAAGTAGATAAATATTTGGGGAGGACAAGTTTGCAGGGCTATGGAGAGAGAGTAGGGTAGTGTGATTGAATTGGATAGCTCTTTTCAAAGAGCCGGCACAGACACAATGGGGCAAATGGCCTCTTTCTGTGCTGTGTAATGCTACGGTGATCCTATGATTCAAGGTCCCACCTCTGATTAGATCGACTTCTTATTCAAAGAGAGAGAGCTGTTTTTTCCTGGCCAACAATTCTCCAACTAAAATTTACTTTATTAGCTGCTGTGGGACTTTCCTATGTACAAAATGGATGTGACATTTACTTACAAAGCAAATTGCCGTCACTACGCTTTAAAGTAAATCCTGTAAAGTGCTTTGAGGCATCCTTCAAAACCAAAAGATGCTATTTCAAGTGCAAAGATTATTCAGAATTATTTTTAATTATTTAAAAATCCCTTTCCTTGATGGTAATTACTCTACAGTGGTTTGCAATGTTTTGACACAACGCCGTGTTATAAATATGCATGTTATTTCCTTCCTTTTTTGATTGTGAATAAGATTGTCCTGTCTTGTGTACATTCACATAGTTAAAACTCAAGACATTGATTGAGTGATAGCTTAGCTTATTACTGCAACTTGCACTTAACAACTTCATCACAAGGTCTATGGTGGGCTCATTAATATTGGGCTCAGTGACCTGCGCTCGGTGAAGTGGCAGAAAGCAGCTAGTGAGTCCCTTCCTGATCATAATAATCCTTGCATGTGATACAGTGCCTTATCAAATCATTGAGACATCTTGTGCACAGCAAAAGCTTGCAAGAACAGCCATGAGTGAATGACCAATTTTATTTGGGGGACTCTTGGCCAGGACACTGGGAGAAACTCCCTTCTCTATATGAATAGTGCCATTGGAACTTTAACATCCACTTAAACAAGCAGAAGGGATCTTAGTTTATAAAATAGTAATAATTCCTGCATTTGATATAGCGCCTTATCACATCTTCGAGATGTGTCAAAGCGCTTCACAGAATATACTGTAAAGTGAATTGACTGTATTTTGTGAGTGAAATGCGGCAGCCAATTGCGCACAGCAGTGTCCCACAAACTTTCATGGATTGAGGGACCACATTATTATCATTATTATTTTGAAGGGATTATTACCTCTGGAAAAGCGATCCGCCAAGTGAGTAACAGCTGAGTTCCTACTTACTGCTAGGTAAACAGAGGCATGTGGAGTAAGGAAACTTGGCCAACATTTTGCCCTGCTGGGAATCAAACCCAGATCCTCTCACTTGCAAGGCAGTTGCACTAACCACTAAGCCACAGGACTCCTCATCCAATGATGACACCTCCAACAATGCAGGGTACCCACAGCACTGCAATGGATTGTCATCCTCGTCTATGAGTTCAAAGTCCTGATGGGGTTTGAACCTGCAACCTTCTGATTCAGAGGTGAGAACGCTACCAACTGAACCAGCTGACACTACAGAGTCTGGGGAAAAATGCCCATTTTTTTGAAGGTCAGGTGAGATTAAATCGGGCTTAGCTGTACTGACCCTACTATACAATAAGCTACTGATATTCACCACAGCTCAGCAAGTAAAAAAGTCCTTTGGCAGTTCTTTTGGAATTCTACCCAACGATGAACCAGTTCCTTACACAGGTTGTTAAGGGGAGAATTTAAAAAAAAGTAATGCCAGAATATCCAGTAAAATTTAAAGAAGTGAAGATAGCTGCCTAACAAGTAAGGATAACTCATTACAAGATGAGTTTAAATATTTTACCAATCCAGTGGGTATATTTGCAATGTATGCGGGAGGACACGTTTGAGCCAGGATGGGTATGATTCGCATATATGGTCAGCTTCTGTAATGAGCTAAATGTGCATCCAAGGATTCAGCGGTGTTGTGTACTGAACTTGCAGGGTACAAACTGGTACAGGCTCCTCCAGCTCAAGGCACCCAATGCTCCAGTGGTTGTGGGTCTGCAGTTATCCATCTGCATCTGTTCCCCAGTGGAGAGCTACTTGTGTTCGTGTTTCCTGCAATTAATAGAATTAGAGCCGCAGATTTAAAATGTCACGTGTAGAGGGCAATGAGAATTCAGCAGTTCAGTCAATTCATTCCCTTCAGGCGTCACACATGGCTCCATTATGGTTTTTAATCTATCGAGTTCTCTTATAATAGGCTTATTAATGGTTCCCGTAAGCGCGCTCTTGTAGTCCAATCTACACTCACTTATTTACTGTGTCCTCTCAGAGCTACAAAACCAAGGGTTAACAACTACCCCGCAGTAGTAATTTACTTGCTTGAATGGCAGAGTCTGGCCCCATTTTATCAGCACTGAAAGCTGGCTAGTCAGCACTGGAAGCTTGGTGTATTATGTGGCGGATTAAGTGTAGACTGTAAGTGAATCTGTGCTTAACTATTGGGTGGAGGGATGGGAGGAGTGCGTTCTCATGGGGTTGTCCTATATACAAAATATGTAACTGCTGGGAACAGTTTTTGGACAAGTGTATGACAGCTGTTTTTTTCAGTCATTCTCAGTATGTCAAGGTTAAAATAAAAGTTTTAGTTTCGAATCGGTGAATCTGATGGCTGCAAGTTCAAGTAATCTTTAAAAGGAATCATGCGCCTGCCGGCAAGCACAGTCAGACTATCCTATCTCGCTTACATGAAGGGCACCTTGCGCGTTACCACGGAAACCAGTACCAGGTCAAAGAGGTACCACAGCGGGGCCAGTTGGATTGTGATGGATTAAAGTTGTCTTCAACAGTAGTGCTGCCCGAAAGGATCTAGCATCGTTCTAATGATCCCTGGCATTTCCTAGGAAATTATATCGGCCAGAATTTTCCTCTTGCATTTCCATGGCAACTGGGTGGGTACAGCAGGATGTGAAGTAGATTAGATTGGATCCCTTGTGAGTCAACAAGTGAGGGCTTACTTGGAAACTAAAATATCCAGACATTGTTATTTGCAAAGTTATGCTGGCTTTGTAGCTCTCTCACAGAGACAGACTCCCCCCTGTGCATGCAAATGTTACTATATGTAGAGTCACATTTTGCAAAGATCCCATTCTCGCGAGTTTGAGGTTTCAATCATCAGTTCTGCATCCGAGAGACATCGGGAGGCCGGGAGAGGCGAGGGAATGGGATACATGCAGTAACAATAACAGAAATATTTGTCAGGGACCCTCTTTGGACCGCTTTAGTTTTACGAACTTCAGAAAAACGAATTCTGCATTAACCCTGAATCAACCCATCAATTTTGCACAATTCGGTGCAATCTGAAAGTTTAACACAAAATGGTCTGTCAATGGAATTTCGGGCCTCCTGTTCTTCTATATTTAGTTTCAACATTTGAAATGAATACGTGGAGGAGAGTGCTGTAAGTTCCACCATTATTATTTTTAAAAAAAGGTTCTGTTTAGCCATTTCTTTCTTCCCCTTCTTGCCAGGTGAAGCGTTCCTTCCTCTCTGTTGAAGCTGGCATTGATCAGCAGTTGACTTTGGTAAGTTATTTATTTCAACATCCAGACAAACATCTCAGTGGAGGTGACAGAAGGATAAGGTCCCTGAAACTATTACGAGCATGCAGTGCTCATTAGTTGGCTGAAGCACTGTAAGACATTTTATAAACGCTAATTGTTGTTGCTGGTTATATTTTGTGGTCAGCTATGTGTCTGATGTATGTGGAGGTCTTTTGAGAAGAGACATTATATCGAGATCCTGTCTGCCTGCCCAAATAGATGTTAAAGATCCCACGGCACTACTCAAAAAGACAAGGGAGTTTATCCTGGTGCCCTGGTTAAGAATGTTCGATATAAAACTGGTCATTCATTTTATGGCTGTTTGTGGGAAGTTTGTGCAAACTTGCTGTCATGTTCGACTATAAAATGCAGTCACTACACTTTACAGAGCATCCTGTCACGTGCTTTGAGACATTTTGACAAAGTGATGAGCAATATTATATGGAAGAATGATGATTAACCAATTGGTTGCCAGATTATAATATGATCTAATCAGATACCAATCGTCAACCTTTGAATCCCCTTTACCTCAAGCGAGCTTTGAGATGAACCCTAACGTGTGGAGGATGCATTCCAGCCTGGCTAATGCCACAAAAAAAGTACAATATAAACGCACCTCGTGTTTAAAACTCCCGGTGTCTTGTACTCATGTTTATCTGTGATGCATTTCATTCTCTGATGCTTTCCAATATGGAAAACTGTGTGAACGTAAAAATGATGCGAGTTGTTCAGAAAAGTGATTTTCTGTCCAGAGCCCAATGATTTTCTACCCTGCCGCATGTTCTAACAATAATTTCCAGTGGGAACTCAGCCCCTGTCTGGATACATTTATAAATTGGTTTTATTAATGCGTCCTTTTGTGTGTGTGTGTGTGTGCGTGCGCTCATTAAAGTGAAGGATGACAGTACTGGGGAATGGAACAGTTTTTCACTTTGTACTCAGCCAAAGAATCAGCAGGAATTCCTCGGTCTGGTGCAGCCTAGCGCATTGTTATTCAGTGAGAGATTCTTTCAACTCTCCTCTCACACAGGGGGTTTCAGACATCCATTTATTAAGGATCATTATTAGGGATTGTAATAAGTGATGGACATTTAGTGGCAGACTCTCTCCTACCCTCTGCCTGTTAGTCAGGGACTTGAGAGTGTTACAGTGCTGGTGGTTAGTAATTTGAAAGGGCATGACAAGATAAATACGGGGGGAAATAAAACTACTTCCATTAGTTGGGGAATCGGTGACAAGAGGCATGGTCTCGGGATTGTCAGTGAAAGAGCCAAGGGAAAGGTTACAAAGGAATTTATTCATTCAGAGTGTTGTTAAGGTGCAGGATTCATTACAACAGTTGGCTCTTGCGGCTGCAGCAGTAAAATAATTCAAAAGAGAATCAGCTGAAACACGGAAGGAGTGAAAATATTAAGGGTTGTGAAGACAAAGCTGGAAAGTACAATTAACAACAACAAATTACATTTATCGAACGCCTTTCACGTCTGGAGGACATCCCAAGGTGCTGGACTGGACAGTCAACTGTTTGTCCGCAAGCTGCAGCCGGGAGTCGAGAGGAGTGGAGAGCGGGGGGGTGGGGTGTATTGCTGAGAAGATGGCTGACCAAAGGTGTGATCTTAGAGGAAGGCCTTGAGATGGGCCTTGAAAGAAGGAGGGGGCAAGGCGGATGGGCTCCAGGGTGGAGTTCCAGAGGGTGATTTAGCAAGACCAGGTAGCAGTGCCATAGACACCAAAGGCCTTTTTTTAAAAAAAGAAAGTAGTGTAAGAGCGTGTGTGTTTTTTTTTAAAAATCCTGAGCTACTTGTAGTGTTAGACTGTCCGTCAACTCACTCACCAACAGGCATAAGGTGGATTCGAAACCTATCCATCTCCATCTGTTGGGTTCCTTGAATTGCTCTACAACATCCAGAGCGAAACTCTGCTGCATTACCATCATTCATCAGTTTCCCACGACCACAAAAGGACCAAGTTTTCACTGCTTACAATTGGTTCTGGATAACTTGTTGCTTGGAATCTTGGGGTCATTGGCCGATTGTAAGACAATCCACTGTTCTGTGTCCTCCCTCTTCTGAGTTGCATGTATTACATAACTTTGGGGTTGAAAAATTGGTATTTGCAAACCATGCTTGTGGCCAGTGTTTGCCATCGGGCCATACCGTACTGAAGAAAAGGCAGGAACAATGTGACGGGAGATCAGAGAGCGAAACATCGGTGGCAGAATAGAATGGCTTGTGACAGCCATCGGGGTCGTGATCTATTTTAATCAAATTTGGCAAAGAATCAGCCATTTCAGGCACAAAGCCAGACGTTACAATTAACACTCACTTTGCAGTTTGCCCATAGCACATTTTCAGTTCCATTCTCGGTTTGCGTGCTTGATCTGGAGGATTGATTCTTAAACCAAGCGAAGAATGATAAAGATTTCAGCGCTGAAGGAAACTACGGAGATACCACAGAACTCTGCTATGAGGAGCTTCATTAGAATGCAGGTTTACTTCCTGGGGTTTGGATCCTGATGTTTATATACTACAATATTCAAAATTTGAGGGGTCATCCCATCACTTGCTTGTAGAGAGACTAAACACTGGCCAGCACAGGAGAAGGCAAAATGGCCGACTTCCAAGTCACCGCCAATGCATTTCCTGCATGCTAACTGGAAAGACGGGCCACTTTGGCCTTGTCATGCCAGTTGGGAGTTTTAGCTTTCTGAGCGAATACGCAATGAATGTGCAAACGCTGACTAGCAATTGTGCCTCATTATAGCACTGTTTGATCCTTAAACTGTCAGATAAATGCCCTGATTCCAATGATTTCATTTCTATGTTGAAAGAACGGTGTTCCAAGACACAGTATATAGGCTGGTATTTAACGGTGGAGACTTTCATCCTGGCAGATTTCAACCCAGATCCCAAGGGAGAATGTAATGTTCTAACCCAGTACCCCATTCCAGGCTCCAGACTGAGAGCTTTCACAGTATGAAAATGTACAATTGGGAAATCTGAGTGAACGGGAAGTAATAATGTAGACTTCACTCCATAGGAATTCAAATAAGCAAATAACGGAAAGCCAGCTGGGATTCCAAGAAACAAGCTGAATAGCAAATCATATTTATGAATTTAATACATGGCTTTTTTTTTCTCACTCTGGTTCTTGTTATTTCATTTTTTTTCCGCGTCCGCTGACATTTATATTCAATGGCAAATTTTCCAAATTAAAGGGGAATCCGGAATTTCTGGTTGCAAACCAAACCAGAAAATCGTGCATGGTAAGAGGAGGCAGTGAAGTTTATGGGGCAATGGGCGTATAGTAGTTATTATTAATAATAATCCTGGCATCTCACTTCGGGAAGTTATTTCAAAGTTCTTCACAGGTTTTACTGTGAATTGTAGTGACTTGTGTATTCTGGTAAGGAAATGCAGCAGCCAATTGCACACAGCAATGTTCCACAAACAGCCAAAAAATGAATCGCCAAATTTTATTTGTGAGAATATTGGCCAGGAGACTGGGAGAAACTCTCTTCTTTTTCTGATTTGTACCGTGGATTCTTTAACATCCTACACAGGCAGATGGGACTTTGGTTTAACATCTCTTCTGAAGGAAGGCACCTCCGACAATACAGAGCTCCCCCAGCACTGTATTGGAGTGTCGGTCTAGACTATGTAAGTTCAACAACAACAACAACAACAACTTGCACTTATATAGCGCCCTCCACGCAGGGTAGGGTCTCAGAGCACTTAGTTCACAGTTCTGATGTAGGTCTTCAACCCACAACCTAGTGACTTGGAGATGAGAGCAGTACCCATTTAACCAACACTAGTTAAATACTGAATGGCGGTGAAATTTAGTCTGCATTTATTTACAGTAAAAAATGTTGAACTCGAGGATGATATAAATTGTGGACTGTTTTTCTGGAGATCATATTTTCCTAAATAGCCTCACACTTGGGTCATTCATGAAGCTCTTGAAATAGCCATCCCCTGGGAAGATTCCAGGCACGCAGCTGGGAGGATATTATGAAGAGCATGTCTGCATGGAATCAGATCATTCGGCCCAATAGTCCATGTTGGCATTTATACTTATACTGCGTATAGAAAGGATGAATAGATGAATACATCATAATGGTTCAATTCCATAATAGTGCCAACTGCTCCCTCCAACTCGATAAAGCTTCATCCTGGGTCACTTTCTGACTTGCACACATTACACACACAAATACACAGACACACTATAAAGATGTATATCAGTAATTCTGGATAAGTCCCTGCTCTACGTCCAGCTTTCCCTTACCTTTACTATGGATTTAGAATGGGACCTAATAGCCAGTTTGAGAGGGTGCTACAGTAAGTGCTATTAAGCGCTCTGAGACTCTACCCTGCGTAAAGGTTGCTATATGATTGTTAATGGTGGTGTTTGACATTGTTCTCACCTCCCTCTGGAATGCAGAGTAGCTTAGTCACCCTTTACGGTCAGCTTGCACATAAAACGTCTTTCCTCGTGCCTTAAGGGGTTAACATCAAGTGTAAAGGATGAATAGCAAGCTACTTTGGCGTGAAAAATATTAAAGTTTTATGAAATAAATTCAGGTCAGCAATAACTCATTATTCTGTGACTTGGCTAATGCATTAGATCTTGTCACAAACAACAGTGGGTATTGGAGGTTAGCCAAGAGGTTTTTACTATAATGATTTCAAGGCTCTGCTGGAGTTATTAAAAAGCCCAGAAGACATGGCATGTAGCCCACAAATTGACCTTTCTCTTCGTTTCCCCCAAGGTATCTTGGCTGAAACCTGCAGCTTTGTGAGGTCAGAGCAAATCCATAGCATTTCCCAGTGTTCAACAGCATGGCTGCAGGCTGTGTGTGCTTACAGCTGTAACTTCACTGTGTGCCTGACGTCTGGGACCTCCTGCAGAAAGTGGGAGAGGGTTTAATTTAACCCTTTACGCAGTGCGTGGCCAGGTTAACAATTTAACCCCGCTTTGCA